GCGTGGGCCGGAGCCGGGGGCGCGAGCGCCAGCGCGGGGCCCTGGGGCCCCCACGAATGGGGTCCTGAGGTACAGGGGTGCTGAGGTACAAACCGCCCCGGCTGCCTTCGGGAGCCGCGGCCAGCGTGTCCAGGGGGCCCTCGGGCCCACCCGAGGACGCGCGCGTCGCGGGCTGAGGAGAAGCTGGAGCCCCCTGGTGCCCCGGCGCCCCCGGGGCGGCTGCTGAGCTTCCGGCGCGGCGCGAGGCCTTGCTCAGCGGTCGCCGCAGCCCGGGGGTCCGGGGGGGACACTCCCACTTCACAAGTGAGGAAAGCGAGGAGAAGTCCCAGCGGGACTCGAACCCACGGCTGCCGTCGCGAGCCCCCCCGTGGCCGGCGGGGGCCGCCTCGTCAAGCCGCCACCTCACCCTGAGGCCAGGAAGGAGACGCGCGACAGCCGCCTCCGGGACGCCCTCCGCGTCCCCACTCCCACCTGCCGCCTTGGGAAGAAGTCTCAAGTCCGGGGGGACCAGAAACAGGCGCAGAGCTGACGGCAACGAGAGGACGCCCGCACCCTTGCGCACACATGGCCTCCAAAGAGGGGCGAGGAGTGGGGCCTGGGTCACGAAGCTGCTCTCGGAGTGGGTCCAGTGAAAGCCCAGCAGGTGGTGACCTTATTCAGCAAGACCTGGGCCTGATGGGGTTCATCCGACCGCACTCATCGCGATGGTGCCACGTAGTAAAACAGCGCCCCACGCTTGTCAGTGGGGTGCCGGCCATGTCCACTTTCCCAGTTTGAGGCCCCAGTCCTGGGATTCTTGGAGAGAACAGATATAGACAGAAAGCCCCAAAGGCAGGAGCAGATTTGTTTCCAAATCTCGCCTGTGGCTTACCAACAAGTTCAGAGAGATTTTGATGCACAGCTACAGACTGAGCCGGTTTACTGAACATTATAAATGGAAATCTTTATTTTTTTCTCTCTGTTTTTAAGAAATCCTGTTGCAAGGTCATTAATCACATTATCCATTATACCAGAAACAAATGGATTTGTCACTTGTGTGCAGAAGCTGAGGTTGCTTCTGGAAACAAATTGTATCAAAATAAATGAAATTATTATGATAATATAAAATAGACTGCAGTGATTAATCTCCAGAAACCAAATTTTGACCTGCTTTGTACTTCAAACAATAGCTTCTGTTATGTAAATAGTTGTGGAGTTTTCAAGGACAGTGTTGCTAAATTACAAGAGAAGTTCTATTCATGAAAATCTCTTCATGGATAAACATTAGAGACAGGAAATCCGGTCTACACAACAGCCAAAGCAGAGGACAGTGGAAGTAAAGATGGTTCAGGTAAGCATGTTCATTAGTGGAAAAAGTATGGGGTGGGGAATGAGGGGTCAGGTAATGGGCTAGTGTCTCTATTGGTCTAGGTGGCTGGGAAGTATCAGTTTCACATTATAAATAATGACCTTGAATAGACTCATTCCTCCTACATCTTCTTATTTCAGCTCCTTGAAAACTCCAGAAGTTCAAATGAGCCCACATATATACAAATTGCATTAATGAAGGTAACAGAGTTGCAAAGCACTTTATAAAATGTTACATTTTAGATGATTCCATAAGGTACCAAATCCAGACATGTTCAGAATTATCTAAATAAGGATTTGACTTTCCAAATTTCACTCGTAAGTTTGGTGGTTTTTTACTCATAGACCTAGATAGATCTTAACTGGATATGACAATAGAGTAGCCTAGTCTATATTGTTCCATATATCCTTTCTTGACACAGACTGATAAATTCCTATTTGCAACTACTTGAAATAGAGGCTTGTTCTTTTAATAATTAAATAAAATCAAGTGTATTTCCAGAATTCTAACTTCCTCCTGAACAAAGAAAGCAGTGTACAAGACATAAAAATAGCAAAGCATGTATCCCAAAATAATTACTCTTAAATTTCTCAAGAGATTTCCAATATGGGAAGTGATCAGTGAAATTGTCAAAGCCCAGAGGGAAAGACCCAGGCATTTAAGATGTGACTTTCTTTGGAGGCGGTATAATTAGAGGGCTTAGTTAACAGGATATATGCTGTTTAGGGTTTTATTTTGTCTTCCTGGTGCAGTGGAAAGTCTACTGGCTTAGGAATGAGGAGGCTGAATCCTAATACTAACTCTTGTCACTAGCTAAGTGGTTTAAAAATAAGGGGATTAGACTAGACTCTTCAAAGGCCCTTCCGTCTATGCTCAAGAGCTGGTAGTTTGAGAAAGAATCACTGTTCAGTGTGATGAATGTTTCAGAGCCTTGCTTTTTGTGTTTGTGTTATGCTTGTGTTATGAACCACCTGTAGCCAAGGGTGAGCATGGGAAGGCAGGATGTTTGTTTGAGCATGGGAAGGCAGGATGTTTGTCTGTACAGCAGGTAAACCTTCACACAAGGAGATGCTGTAACTGTGGTTGAAATTTGCTCTCAATAACATGAAAGCTCACCCTCGATTTACTCACAGCACAACAACCTTGTCTACCTGAAGGATCCTGCATATCTGACTCATGCTACCCATGAGGATGGTTATATGAGTGGCAGAGACCAGGGCCCACAGATTTTCCTCCATTTGAAAAGTCGTGCAGATCTGCAGCAGTGAATCAGCTCCACCTAATCTCTTAGTGTAACTGATGCTGCAGCATAGTAACCACCCACTCATTCACTATGTCTCCTGGCTCCCAGGTCAGCTGAGAGCCCCGTATGGACTTAAACCGTGTGCTGGGAATCCTGATGAGCTCATTCCGCCTCCATTTTATTGCCCCATCTGTTTCGTCCCCTTTTTCTTCTCACATGCATTTTTATCTTGGTCTTCTGGGAAATGTGCTAATTTCCACCATGGTGTCAGAGGATCCCATCTTACACTTTCTTACGTTTCCTCGTCTCTTTCTCAGTGCCACTTGGGAAGTCAAAGAATGGGGGTGTGAGTTCAGTAACAGAATCCAAGACAGCTTCCCGCAAACATGCCTCAGGAACTGTCCTTGGTGCTGAATTTCAATTGGGAGAGAAACTAAGGGTGAGTGGTGTTGTGGGTTTTTTGTTTTGTTTTGTTTTGTTTTTTTGGTAGGATCAGTGCAGATAAAAGGGAATTTGGAGGCTCCAGAGAATCCTAACTAATACTCTTTTATTCCTAAAATGCTAAGATCCTTTCAAGAGTGAATTTTTTACTAGACTGAACTGCATGGTAGAGAAGGAAGTGCTTGAGCCCTGGACCCAGACAGCTCTTGTTTCAATCCTAGTTTTATAACTTGCCATTTGACCTTGAGAGGATAGCTTAACCTCTCTGAGTTTCAATTTTCTTATCTCTACCATCAAAGCTAGATTTACTGCAGAGTGTTATTGTCAGGCTTGAATGAGATAATGTATATGAACATGATTAGCATGTGGCAGGTGCACAATAGATGCTATTATCCTTTTCTTCCTTTTTTCTCCACTGAATTCAGAGCTGAATTATATACATTCTTTTAAAAACAAAGTTTAAATTTTTCCTTTATTTTCTACAATATCCATTTGGAATTAAGGCAAGGAAGAATTCTCGAGAAAGAACAGGTCAACCTTTTTGGAGGAAAAGCAAGGGATGAGAACTTCAGGAAAACTTACTGGTGTCTCTGCAAGAGAAAGTTATCCTACTTTGTGGTTTGTTGTTGTTAAGACAAAGAATTGTATTTTTTAACTTTAATCAGAGAATTCAGTCAAAGTGAACTATTTCACATCTACACCAACTTAGAATATATCACTAGCCTATGTGTCTGGACCCAACTAAAAGATTTGTAGTACTTAACATTTCACTGAATCTGAATTTGTATTGCTGTGGGATCCCAATAGATATAAGGCCCCGAAATAAAGCAAATGTTCGTTCTTCAGTGCATCTGGGTTCTTCTTGAACAACATATTCCTGGTGTAATTTTGGGAGCATGTGATATGAGACATTGAGTTTCAGGAAGTATTCCTGTGTTAGTATATGATCACATGAGGCTGGAAAGCCATGATTTGGGGATACTGATTGTAAATATTACCCAACTGATTTCAACAAACGAAAAAGGCTTTTGGTGACATCCTCTAACTTTAAGCTATAGAACTTGTCACTGGATAAACCAAGGATAATGTCTTAGGTCAGTTTTTAGAAGTAAAGGATAACAGACTGGGAATGGGAGGAGCTGGAGGAAGGAACCTCGTCAACTTGGATTGCTTGCAGGAAATACTCTAAGAATGTCATCTCAATTTCTCTATATTAGGAAACACTTGGAAATGGCCTCACTTTTACACAAGTAGTGAAACTGGCCTCTATCTAATCCATATTTGTAGCTCAGTATCTCTGTATGGTTTAGGCACACAGGTTGAATCTTTGAAAGTGAGAATTGGAAGAGATTTTATAGAATTTTGAAGACTAGGAAACAGTTTAAGAAAGGTTAAAAGGTCATATGGCTACTTAACAGCAGGGCCAAGATGGAACTCAGGTTCTCTGGTTCCCAGTCAAGAGCTTTTTTCTCTGTACCACTCTCTAATTTACTCACTAATCCTTTAAAATACTTGGCTTCTTCAAAAACAGATTTCTTAAAAATTAATAATTTGCAATACCAGATCCAATGACCATTTTCCTGTAATTCTCCTGAAACTCATTACAGCATTCAACATTGTTGGCTAAGTTCTTTTTTGTTAAAACTTTCCATTGTCAGTTTCTATGATACTGTATTCTGGTTTTTTCCCTTGCTTTCTGAACATTCTTTCTTTCTTCTTTGGATCTTCTTTCATTACCTACCTCCTCAACACATGTGTCATAGGTTTGAGTTGTCATAGGGTTCTCCTTTCTCTCACTATACCCTCTATATGCTCTTTTATGCTTTCACCTATGGTCTCTATGTTAGTGACTTTATCCCTGATCTGTACAGAGCTCCAGAACGTAATAAACCAATTGCATGCTGGATGTCTCAAGGATATACTACCAGCACTTCTAACGCAATATGTCCTCGACTAAATCCATTGTTCTCTTCCCCATCCCTCTCTTCCTCCTGTATCCCATATTGCTGATGTATTAATGTTTTCCAAGTCATCCAAACTGAAAACTTTGGAGTTATCTGTGTCTCCTCTCCCACCCTCCACATCCATTCAAATTCTAGTCAGTTTCTAAGTCCTAATTCTACTTTTACAATATGTCAACTCTCTATTCACTGCTACAACCTCATCACTTCTGTTCTAAACTATACAGTTGCCTCCTAACTGAACTTTCCAACTCTACCATCTCTGTTTCAGCTTACATTCTATTGCCAAGTCAGTTTTCCTGAAGCTCAACCCTAAAGCATTTAATGCCTCTGCTCAAAAACCTTCAGTATTTCCCTGTGCAAATTCATAAACTCCTTAGTCTCCATCACCTGCCCCCCCAACTTCCTATTAAATCCTATTTTCTACTATCCCTTGATAGACTAAACTACAATCAAAGTAGACTATTTCATGCTCTTCACACATGACCCACACTTTCCGTCCTTCAGATTTGGAGCTCAGGTTGTTTCCTACATCTGGAATGACCTTTCCGCCAATTCTAGAACCACAAAACTCATCCATCTTTCACAGCTCTGTGTACATATTACCTTCTCCACAAATTTTACCCTGAATTTGCTCAGTCTGAAGTGACACTATAAAGGTCAGTAATTTATCTTTACATTCTTTATTTCTCTTACTACTTTCAGCCTGTATTATAATTGTCTTCTCCACTGGACTATGAGCTCCTTAAGGGCAACATCTAGTTC